CTTTAGATTTGACCTTGATCCGACTATCCGCCATACTGTATGGAACGTGGGCGTAGCCAGGGTGTTCTATGGGTTTGGTTTTCTCTTCAAACCTGCATATCTTCAGCGCATAACATCTACAAAGTCACTCACTCAGGCTAGAAGGCAAGTATATTCTTCTTCAAGTACCATATGGATGGTAATATATGGCTAATATGAGACTTCCTGTTGAAATTACTATTTGAGTCATCACGGGAAGAAATAATCGAATCCCTATATTACTACAGGTTGTGTTTTGCTTTTTCTTTAGAAACAGTTATCTTTAATCATTTACTGACATTACAAAACATTGCAATAGTGGTAATGTGTGTGTAAAGCAGAATAAAGAAGGAATGTTTTTCAGGGCGATGTTACTTGCACTGTTCTGCTCATCTGCGTTTGGAGTCCTTTCGGTCAGCAGTGGTCTTCTGGCATATGGTTACTATGACAACAAGAGATGCGATCCTATGGCTTCCAATCAGATCAACAATCTTGATCAGGTACAATCACACATTAGTGATATATCCTCGTACGTAATTTTGTGCATTGTTTTGTATTCCCTGACAGTTAAAGCAGACAGAAATGATGAACTTGTAGTGTGACCAGTTGGACTAAATTCTTGTGACGCTATAAATGGAAAAAGTATTTGATGCGATCCCATGTCAATACTATTCACTCTTAAGGTATTACCCTTCATGGTGCTCGACATTTTCCGGAACTTGCCAGGAATGCCGGGACTGTTTCTTGCAGCACTCTTCAGTGCATCTCTCAGGTTAGTTTGGTCTCAGCTTAAGCCAGTAAAGTATATCTAATAGTAATGTTGAAGTATACATGTATATGAAATACTTCAACTGGATATTTGGACTGTAATTAACGATTTCAAACTGATTTGATTACAGCTCATTATCATCAGGTGTATCTGCTCTCGCGAACATAACATGGGAGGACTTTATCAAGCCCCGTGCTCCTCAAATGTCAGACGTTCGGCAATTGTTTATCGCAAAGATAGCAGGTAAAACACGATAACGTGGCTTGTGTAATTTGACTTGCCCTGCCTACCTATTTTGCAAGATATTGCCAAGGTATATCAGCAGTATATATTATTAATTTAAAATTATGGGTAAAATATCGTTTCATTCATTTTGCAGCAAAGAACAACATTTTGTAACATTTCATAGAACTTATGCGAATCAATAGCTGTTCAGCATCTTCGTAATATGCCATGGTTCAGTCGACGATTATATTTGGTTCTACTTGGTAGTGGTATATTGTGTCTGCTCTGTTATAATATTTATTATTACCCATGTGTTACTGCTTACACAGGCATAATAATCAACTGTTGAGAAACACGTGTGTCATAACACTTGCATGGAATGTGATTAGCTAATACGCTACATTTGACCATATTGGTACAACCTTTGATTGTTCACAAATGTAGACAAAGCCAGATACAATCTAATGTATGTCTACTCATTTAACCATACTGTGTACATAAATGTACAATACCTTGACGTTTCATATCACGTTTATGTCCCGACTGGAATAGTTTTGGCTTGATGAGATGTGGGGAGATTAACTTATGAACAGCCTTAAATGCCAAAAGGAATTTTCGCTCTTTTCTTTTTACTTCAAAAATCTAAAATAGTTGTGAAATGACATCAACTTACCAATACTGACGAGGTTGTGATATCACCAGAACAGTATGTCTTTAAAGTATGAAATCTTGTCAGACAGGATTAGCTGACAACGTGGTGGTTTCCCTTCCAGCGCCTCACACACAGCTTGGGTTGTTTACTTCACATGGAGCTGAACATAAAATGTTGAGTGCACACTGAGCCATTTTCAGGGGTAATTATGAGCTTTGAGCATGACATCCAGCATGGTAAAGGCACCATACAAATGGACTATTATGACGACTGAAATGAATAAACAGGGTTCGTTTGATCATGGCATTGACAGGCTTGTAAGGCTCATCATCAGCTCAGGGCCTTGCCTCCTCTGCACGAAGCCCAGGAAGCGCTGCCTAGTCGAACTTTTTGGAGAATGAAGACTCCCCCAAAATACAGCCTTTTGCATTACCCAGACTGTCAGAAGGGCTGTCCTCCTGGCAGATAACCTCAGTCAACACATTGGGAGGTACCAAACCTAAGGCACCGAGAACCATGGGGATGAAAGCGTGTCATTTCGTAAGCGAGGTTGGCACATTTGTCATGTTTTTCCTGAATCTCGTCGATGACATAAGTAACAAAAGGGACGGAGAATTCTTTGAAAAAGGACAAGATCATTTTTGTTGGCTTGGATATATCTGAGGCTACATATGAGTCTATTTCAAAGAATTTTATACTTGTAATTTTCCATGACGCCCCCTACATATTCTGGGTCATACCATAGATGGACCACTGTGTCAAAACCACAAGCATGGCGAAGATGGTACTATAAGCCACTCCATTATGTCGCTAAAGATACTGTGTTTATGACAAAGCTGGGCATCCACTGACAATGTGTTGGACAGTCTCATTACATTTCTTGCATTATCTACATTTCAATCTGCCATTTGATGCAAAATCACACACTGACAAGTGGTTTCGGGTGGGAAGTGACTGATCCTGACTAACAAACAGAAAGCCGACTTGATCAAAGCTTGGGACTGTGCAGGGTTGCTGAACATCTCAACACGCTGCACATAAACATAAACACTGCCTCTCTAGAAAACTGAGTCGGGGCTGATTTAATATGGCAGCATATGGTTGATAGTCATTTGTCCACCGCCCAGCGGTAATGAACGATAAAAAAATCAACATTGACATTGAGATTACGTCCCACATCCTTGGCTCGTTTAAAGAAACTGAAGGATGTCTTGTTTAAATCATATCTTGACATGTTAAACAAGTGGATCATCAGACAATACACAATACAATTCTATCATGTGAAGCCTGCATGTTAATCAAACCACGCCCATACCATTATAAGTGGTAAATATAAGCGTTTGAGGGAAGAGCGATGCGTAGTGGGATCTAACTTGATTCTTCGCGAAGTTGTGAATACCCAAAAATTTCTTATTTCGTCAAATCAGCAACACCAAAAGAATACCAAAGGACGGGTACAGCATAAGTATTTGTGGCTTTGACTTTATTGCGATTTTCTGAAGTCTACAATTTTACTCCACCCGTTTACTCCATTTTTGTTGAAATAGGCTTTCTAAAGTTTGTCCCTTACCTACATCCTGAAGTACGTATCATGCCCATTCTACCTTGCCACATTTCAGATGAATTTGGCGAGTCCAAAGGACATGCCAATATCATTAGAAAAGGACTCGACAAAGGGTATCTTTGGATTCTCCTTTGGCAAGAAGTTCATGATCATCCATGCACATGAGTTGAGTAAGGGGTTTTGGGGATCCGTGCTGAGGAAGTCCAGGATGATACTAGTAACTGTCCTCTTTGCTAAGCAAAAAGCTTAACGGATTTCGTGACAAACAGAAAAGCAAAGGACTAAAAGAATCTGAAGTCATCACCTGCCCCTGCGAATACATCTCATATTGCTCGGCCAGGTCAATACATTCAAGTGACTTCGAAATCCATTCCTGAGGTACAGAATCATAAGCTTTTCTGCAGTCTATCCAACACATTGAGAGCTTACGGTGGTCAGTTTTAGCCTCTTCAAGGATCATTTTTTTAACCAGTAATTGATCCTTACAACTCGAAAAGCACATTCTGGATATATCCGGACATTCGAGATAATGAGGCATGAATATCAAGAGTGAGTGAGTGAGTGAGTATGGTTTTACGCCGCTTTTAGCAATATTCCAGCAATATCACGGCGGGGGACACCAGAAATGTGTTTCACACATTGTTCGGCGTGACGAGCGAACGCTTTAACCACTAGGCTACCCGACCGCCCCTGAATATCAGGACAGATATATCAAGTAACAGTATAATAGATACATATCAATACTTTGTATACACGAAACATAAAGAACGCATCACGTGCATGCGATGACAAACTGAAATGTTTTTCGCCTTTAATGAGTGTACCTACTCTTCAATAACCACAATAATATTGAAGTCAATAAATAAGTGAACAATAATGATTTAACAGACTACCTCATCCCTGAATATTAACACAACAAAACTGTAGACAACGATGCGAAACCAGTGACGTAAAGGTCAGCACAATAATGCAACACAAGTCCCCCCCCCCCCCCCCCCCCCCATTATCAGCCAATCCGGTAATAACAGTTCGTCAGCAGTGGCTTAATTGTTTTGTTTTATGGAAAGATAAATGAAACTGCTTCATTGGCGATATAATCACTTGCCATATATAGGAGTGAGTATGGTTTTATGCCGCTTTTAGCAAAATTCCAGCAATATCACGGTGGGGGACACCAGAAATGGGCTTCACACATTGTTCCCACATTCACACATTGTTCCCATGTGGGGAATCTGACCTGGGTCTTCGGCGTGACGAGCGAACGCCTAACTACCAGGCTACCCCATCCCTCCTTGCCATTTATCATACAGCATCATACATTAGAATTGGGAGACCTTGAGGGTTTGTTGTCACACACTCAAAAAGGACACACCTTTTCCCACGTTTACATGGTCTGCACAATGTCTTCATTATTCTTTCTCCTTCAGTATTGACATGGGGAGTTCTGGTCTGTTGTCTGGCCCTGCTTGTCTCCCACCTGGGATCAACGTCCATCCTTCAGGTGCTTTCTTCTTTGTGTTCAAAAGCAAAATCTAACTTTGTGCTGCTCATAAGTATTTGACATTTAGTGTTTTTTCGAGTGGTTTTCCATTTTTTGCCCGCGCTCATGGAGTTCACAAAAGTAGTAAACATCTTGCTTCGCATCACTTTTGACTGTCCTCTCACAAGCCGCCAAGCAAGTGTGTAACAGAAACGTATCGCTGTAAGCAGAGTTAAGCATACCATTCTGATTAATAACTCGTTGAGTGCTAATAAGTGCCTCTTTGTTTCAGATTAATTACAGTGCCTCCTCGGTGACCTCTGGACCAGTAAGCGGCCTGTTCTACCTCGGGGCTCTCTTCCCCTTTGTCAATACAAGAGTATGTCAAGATTTCTATACATTAGTATAGTGTACAATGGAGGAAAACGTCTCACAATAAAACGTTCAACTTTACATTCAACTGAACTATTAACTAATATTGTTAGATGTTATTCACATGGATGATAAAACTAGTCATCTCAATAATTAATCTTTGAGATTTTTAAAATAAATAACTCACAATATATTTAATCATAAAACAAAAGTCGAGATGTTTAATTTATACACGTTTAGTAAATGCTATCACGCAGTCATTAACAATGATAAAGTAAATGTTGCCTGATGGTAATCGTAGGTATAGACACAATGATTTATGCGCGTTTCATACCATCCTCTCTCCACAGAGTGCAATTCTTGCACTGCTTACTGGGCTCAGCTTCCTGACGTGGCTGGTGGTTGGTGCCAGTGTTTGCCAGGGGGTGAGGCAGACGCCCCTTCTCCCCCCTGCCCCGACAGATCACTGCCCAAGTGGTCATCTCTCCCTGTCATATTCAATGACTAACATCACTGTGATGAGCCCAAACTCAACAAATCACAATCTCCAGCAATTTACAGGGTAACGTATGGATCTTTCAATGACCAATGTCAGACCTCAATTTCTTACTCAATTAAACACCATTTTCAAACTGTTTTATTCAATCATTTTTCGATATGCTCTTTTTTTAAATTCCAATCGCCTATTTCTAATTGTGGTGCCGCTTGGTCAAGTGTACAACGCACATGTCACAAGAGCGATGAAGTAAAGCAACGTTGCTTGTGGAGAGCAGTTGGATAGTTGTTCGACAGCTTGAGTCTTGAGAGTAGGATGAGATGGTAATGTGACCTTCTAGCGCCACACAGGCAGCTGTGGTTGTATAATCCTTCGGGAGCAGAGTACGAATATTGTGTGCATAGTGATCCATTGACCAGGGTAGTAGTAATAATGTAGTGCCTTATGAATGGAATCTGGCGAATAATAAATGAACTTATTGCTATGATATTATAAACCAAACTTTCATTTCTACCTTTATGTAGGTCAGGCCTGGATGCCTTCTACAGCCTCTCCTACACTCTGTACCACTGTTTTGGATTCCTCATTGTGCTCGTGGTGGGGGTTGCTCTCAGTCTGGCCACAGGTAAATGACAATTAAACGACATAATATATATCCTTTAGAGGCATTTTATGATAATGTTGTGACATTGAAGACACAGTTGACTCATGACATTTGCTTCATGAAGGTACTAGCCTCTTTGAAAGTAAATAAGTGATTACAATCCATACGTCAATATCATATTCATCTTCGCCATTTCATACTGAATATGATTCATTTCATATACTGAGTTGCTCTCAGTCTGGCATCAGGAAGATGACAATTTTAACTCGGGCAATACACTTTGTTATTCCACTTTCGTTTGCCTAATTTCTTTCGAATTCAATGCATTACGATTTTTTGAAAGTTTTATACAAGCAGAAGATCCAAGACGGACAGTATATATACTATACCTGTCACTACTTACTAATAACTATGTTAATCCTGCAGGTGGAAATATGGGTGGTGTTAACCCTCTCTACGTGAGAAAGTACAAAGGGAGTAGAGATCCGGAAGAGGAATTTGTGGTGGTCTGTATCAGCTGCTGTAGATACAGCTTCATAGAATGCATTCACACAAACTCAGTTTAAAATAACTAATGCATTATATTAGATTGGAGCCTGTTATATAATTTTGACATATAATATAATTTTTTAACAATTCGAAATTGATCTACAGATGAGATTTTCATTTTCACAATCAATTGAATAAAGTTATGATACTTTATGAGGAATTATACCTTCACCCAGGAACACTTGCAAATTAAAACGACAAAACCCTTTACATTGTCATATTGCCAAAAGCGATTGTACGATTCCGCCTACATCATCAGTATGGGTTTATGAATCACCATCACATGGTTATGATACCAAGAGTTTGCAATAAGTTGAGCATACCCTAACCCACCGGTGGCATCCGACACAAACACATGCAAAGAAAAGTAAAAAAATACAGCTGGTGTTCAGCTTTGACACACAAGTCGTTGGAGCCAACACGTATGATACGTCTTGTTGGGTGTTGCTCGGTACTGTCGAGAGGATTGTTGACACCTGGTCGGTAGTTGCATCAATGACAACCCCTTTTCACCTTCACAAATAGTAGGAACATGATTCACAAGCGCTGAGGATATTTGCTCGTGCTGAATATCTGTCACCTTTCATTCACGTCTATGAAACTATTTCACTCACCCAAAAGAGTGAGTAAAACCAGTCCTGAACACAAGATAGAGACAGACGAGACAGAGTGAGAAGTGAAGAGATTTGACGAAGTGAAGATGGGTGAAGTCACAAGCGCGTGGAGGTTGGCTGTGTTAGAATGTAAACATAGACATAATAAATATTATAAGAAGGAGAAATGATGTTGGCGTGTCAATAATCGTATTTAGTTGTTTAGGGATAAATGTAATAATGAACGTATGCACGAACGCACGTAGACTAGCCATATCCTGTTCTCAGTTGGTTATCATGTTTTATTTTACAGACTGAAGGAACCCAGATGCGCGAGCGTGACTCTACAGACAGGCAACTGTCAGAGGCTCCCGTCAAACACTGAGCTCCCCTTTATACAACTATCAACACAATACAGGAATGTAGAAACATATCTGCGTCACAATACCAAATTCACTCCACCATCTTAGAACACACACTGCTTGTACATTAATAACACAGAGAATGTTATATACAGCTGATCATCACTTGTTTCACTGTTAAAGAGATTTTTTTCTAAATGCCACTTTTGTATTGATGGAGTATGATGCTGTCTTACGTACACACTGTTATGTATTCGAGGATGAAAGCCATGTTATATACAATTGTTCTCTTTATGCGGGTCGGCGGGAAATGTTTTTTCCAAAGACAGTAAACCATCATCATTTTTGTTCAGAAAGATTTTGCAAGTTCTAATGTACATATACGTGTTCTCGACAAAAGAAAGTATCAATTAAGTATGTCTATGATAAAAATGTATTTTGTGTAATGGGTCAATTGGCCTTTCTACAAATAAATATGTCTGTCTCTCTGTCTGGGAATCGTTTTGAACTGTACATTTACACATAATGCTAACTTTCATTGAGTGATCCAGCAATCAAACAATTTTCATTCAGTCCTATACTTGAGGGGTAGATCTTTTGATATTCAATTTGTTTTTGTGAATATTCCCAATGCGTCAAACACAGATGTGTTTCATTCATGTTCATCCATTTGTTATAGCAAACAATTTGTCAGATGTCTTCAAATAGCTTCCTACCTCTCGTCCATGGTTTCATCTTTCAAAACAAGTGGTGAGCTTGGTATCTACTTCTTTCAAAATATTTGAAATTTGGTCTCTCAGACGTATGATATCTCTAACACCTTTTCATGATGTCAAACATGGCAAAAGGGGGTTGAATTTGTGGACGTGGCATGGCGCATGTACTTATTTCACAGAAACAAAATGTTGCAGTATTAGAAGTAACCATTTCCGACATATGCAGAGCTATATGTAGTAGGTGTTAGATTTAGGGGTGGTAATGATGACTTGACATTAATAGGGTATAGAAACATTCTGAGGGTGAAGAGTTCCCCCAACAGTATACCATAGGCCCATACATCCGCCTTGGTGGACCTCACCCCTGAGTTGATGACCTTGGGAGCTGACCATCTGCTGTAGTTAGCCACCGAAAGGAGTACCATTCTACTTAAGTTGAGGTTTGAAATATTTAGAGGACATCAGACATCGGTGAGAATTGGTTATAATAACAGGTAATTGAACCGGTAATGAATTAGTGCAAGGTGGTCTCCAGGGAGATGTTGGCATTATCACTGTCACTGAATACAGTTATCTGAACGTGGTCTGTTCGAATGGTTAGCGTGTGTGGTATTTGCCACCGGTCGGGCAGCATATGTTCCACATCTAAATTGAGTTATTAGCCTTCTATATTCACAAGGTTTAGCATTTGATAAATATTTTTCACAAATGATATAAGATTTATGCAGTTTAAATAATGAAAGGGTCTTGCATGCCAATCTTGAAATAAACAATCTTTGACTCTTTCGCTGATCAGATGTATAACGTTTGTATTGCCGACGCTTTGTGCAACCCATACAACCCCAAAACCATAATAAGTTAGGAAAAAGTCTGATATCCGATACCCAGTTGTGACGTTTTCTATCAGCATTGGATGACAACATTTTATAACACTGGTATGAGTATCTGTTTGGACTCATTTGCATTATCTTAAGCCAATATTTAATGCATTTTACATGGTAAATATTATGAAGTGGATACTTCCTTTTACCACGGGCCACTGCATTCGCAGTTTTGGTGCCCGTGTGAAGTAAACATTTACCAAATTAACGATGGACGATTTCAGAACTATTCCATTTTTGGTATCCCCAAATCTCAGCACCATACATTAATATCAGAACAATTTTTTTATCAAATTTTAAAAAATATTACTTAAGCGAAATAATATCATATTACCGATTTAACTTACCAAAGTGGAAACGTGGAAACTAAGCCTGGACCGGATGAAAAAGGTATTGACAGTTCTGAACTCACTGATTTAATATCAGAGATTATACAGGAATTTTGTTCAGGGAAAAGGGAGCATGCAAGTGATATGAGGGACATTAAAACCATAATATGGAAGACCTAAAGGGCGAACAGGCTATATTACAAACGAACGTTTTGACCAAATGGAGCAGACTCACAGTACACCAGTTGAACCCACAGCTTCAGCGAAACAGCTACAGAACGAAGTAGAAAGACCAGAACAAAAAAGAACCAGTTTTGGAAAACAGTGATGAAAACAAAACAGGTTGTAAGGATGTTTGTGACATTCTAAACTCGAGTAATACAACAGATGACATCGTTGAGATACGTCCACATGACATTGCCGAAGCGCACAGGCTTGGGCATCATCCTTCACATTCAAAGCGGCCAAGGCCAATTATTATTAAATTCGTCACTATCGACTGGAAAATATGTTCCCTTAGTCGACGTAGACATAAAAAAGTTCAGGGTATGGAATCGCCAGCGATCTCACACAAAGACAGCGGAATAAGCTTCAAGAACTACCTGCACAAAACAAACGAGGATACTTCAAGAATGGCGTACTTATTGTTACTGACTTCAACCATATGCTGCTTACAGTGGTGAGGGATCTGATGATACTAGACAGGCTGGCCATAACACGCCCAGTGCTGGCAAATAGGGGTGTTGTCCAGTTCAAGCAAATTCTCAATCGATGTCCAAAACAATCATTATCAACTAAGCTTCTCTTCTGGAATATATCTGGTTTGGTAAATAAAGTTTCCGACCTAAACTTTCTAAACTTTTTAACTAATGCAGACCTTGTTGGATTGATAGAGACATGGACAATTGACTTTCCTTATGACCAGATATTCCACAACTTTACAGCTTACATCCTAAATGCAATTAAAACAGCTGACAGAGGACGATTCTCAGGAGGCTTAATCGTGATTGTGAAAAAATCAATCAGTGCCTATGTGAATGGTCCATAACTGCAGACAATGCTATATTTTTACTTTTAGATAAATGTTATTTAATCTTGAAAAAGACATTCTTATGTGCTGTGTATATGTCAATCCGCCAGGATCAAGTGTGGTTTGACTTTATTCATCAACTCACTTATAGAAGTTATTGTCTCATTAAACAGAGATATACACATCCTCATAGGTAGGGATTTCAATGCCCGGACTGGGACACTGTCTGATCATATTGATGATGATATCGCCGAGGTCAATGTCAATAGAGAATATGTCAATTCTGCCCGATAGTATCAACATAGATAGAATGTCATGTGATATCAATGTAAACAATGCCGCAAAATATCTTGTAAATATTTGTGCCGCTCTCGACATGTCTATTCTAAATGGTGGCTGTGGTACGGATTTAGGTATAGGTGATTATACTTACATCTGTCACTCAGGCTCCAGCTTAATTGACTACATTATTGTATCCAACAGTCTATTCTTCCACTGTAAAACATTTGATATTGTGTCGAGGGCAGAATCCTCACACCTACCACTATCTTGTTCATTTCAAGCACGTGATCAGGAGACTCCCGTTGAAACAGCAGGGGACGCACGTGCCCCTCGTGAAAACTACCACCTTGTGTGGTACATGGCGAAACTACAACAGTTCAGGGATAATCTGGTATTGCCACATGTGGTTGATCGTTTTGAACAATGTACTTTGTTACTACCAGATACTACAGATAATGCTATTAACTCATTCACCGACGCCATTTGTACAGGTGCTCAATGCATGAAAAGGACATGTAAGTCTCGCGAAAGTCGCTAACAACCCTGATTTGACTCTGAGTGTCAGTGATACAGATTGGAGAGAGAGAGGTGTCTCAGAATATAAAGACATTTTAAGAATGATAAGACCTTATTTTGTTATTAAAAATCAAGAAATACTTATACAAGTTTATGACGTGATAAAAAGAAAAGTTATAATGAATATATGTGTAATAAGGTTTTATCTAGTCTTCGAAATAGTAAATGTTTCTGGTCTACCATACGAGGATTATCTCAAAGTGTGGCAACTCGTGTACCTAACATATCACTAGAACAATGGGTCGATCAATTTGAAGATGTGTTTGACAATCCAACAGATGAAGATACGGTTATCACCGAAACGGCTGGTAATGATATTCATGATGATATGTCTTGCTATATTCGGGACTGGACCACATCCGACCAAACAAAAATTTAGTTTCATTATGTCTAAAACTGATTGTAAATTAATTAAACGTATAGCTATCTATATCAATCAAGCGATGTCCCTTTGTAGTACATTATTGTCAGAACATTAAGATCTGTGCACATCACGTCTATTGTAATACAAATGTAACTATGGCCCGATGGCCTACGCTTACGAAATAGACCGAATTGAAACTAACCACAGTGTTTTGTTGCTTACTGACATAAAGTTTTACAAGCCTTAGTCCAAATAAATTTTATAAGTGAAATAAGTCCCACAGATTTATAGGCATTAACTGTTTCATAAATTCGCCACTGTAAAACCATATCTAATTTTTGACAAGGGGACTCCCATTCTACCATTCTAATTTTACTCTTCACGTATTAATATCAATACACCATTTACAGGAGTATAAATATAATTCATCAAGACATTTTTGTAACTTTAAAACACTGTCTGCAACAGGTATTAAGCTGTTGGCAAACAATAGGGCAATTATATTCAACATTTCCTCTGAGATAAAAAACACCATCCTGGAATTTTTTTTAAACATACAACTAATTCGTTGATAAACAAAGAATATATTACTGGACTAAGAGTACAACCTTGTCTCACCCAACAAGATCTATCAAAATAATAAGTCAATTACTTTACCATGATCGTATGTTACAGTTGCTTTAACATCATTGAACATACTCTGGATAATACACACAAAAAATTGCGGTGAATAAAATTTTGCAATGAAAAATACATTAACTTACACCTATTAACCATATCAAATGACTTTCGAAAATCAATAAAAGTGCCAAATACATTTTGCGAGTGATATACGTTTGTATACAAGCTTGTAAAATGAAAATGTTATCAAAAGTAGAATGAGCTTTCTTAACACCGCCTTGATATTCACCAATTATGCCTTGGTAATATAAGAAGAAATCTACTCTTTGTTCAAACTATACGGAAACATTTTACCAATTATATTGAGAGGTGATATACCACGAATGTTAGTAGGATCA